AAAGTTTCGGCTACGCGCCTTGTCTCAGGATTTCCGAACCCGACTGTTTAGTGTCTGGTTTCACACCAAACACTTGTGTTTTGCCTTTGAAGGGCAGGGTAGGGCTTGTAGACCATCCCCACCCATCACCGGCAGTGGCTGGAGGCCACCGGCTGGTTTTTGCTGCCACCGGCAATTTATACTGCCTGCCGGCACTATTTGTTGACGGTCAGCACTTTTTAGTGCCGGCCGGCACTCTTTTTGGCCAAGATGGCATTTTTGGCCGGCCGATTACTGTGCATCTGCTTTTGCAGATATTTTAAGACAGCTGTCTTGCTTTTTTGTGAAGCTTGTCTTGTAAGCTTTACAAGACAAGAAGTGCCATATAGAGAGAGGTTGGTCTCTTGGCTTGAGAGGTTAGACACTTAAGATTTTTTTGAGAGCTTAGACAGCCATTGTTAGGGTTTGAGTTCTAGGGTTAGGGTTAGATACACATTCTATCTCTCTTTTCCTCTCTTTTGTGCTCTTGTGTGTGTTTTAGTCCATACTATTGCACACAAGCACCTAGTGTTTCACCTTCCTCTTGGAACTGAGGTTCTAAGGGACTGATTTTGAAGTTTTGGTGTTGGATTCAAGCTAAGGAAGGCCATTGGAGCATCATTGTTGAAGAAGGCTTCAAGGGTAAGAATCTCACCCCTTTTTACCCCATTTTTGCATTGTATTTCTACCTATCTTAAATTCGTTTTTGAGCTTAGTGTGTAATACAAAAAAGTTCTGTTTTTAAGCCCTCTTGGTTGTTTGTTAAGAGTGTTTTGTGGTTTGGGTAAGCTTGAGTACCCTTAGGCCTTGAAAGGCCTCATTTTGTGCCCTTTTGCGCTAGCTCCGGGATTTTGGTGTTGGGGTCCCTTCACCACTGAAATCTTGAGGGATTTTAGTGGTGAAGGTGATGCCTTGAAGTCCCAAGAAGGAGAGGGCCACCCCCTCTCCTTGTTGTCCTTGAAAAGGGCATCATGATCCACCATCGCCCATTCCAGCCATTGTCAATCATTTCCGATCATCAGCGATACCCTTTGGTGACCTCTGATGATCACCTCCGGCAACCTCCACTGTTGCCACTATCCTCTGACCTCCGACAATATTTTTTTTTATCCATTTTTCATCTCAAGTACGTCACTACTACCACCATCTCCTTCTTCGATGTAGTGGCAACGAAAAAAAATGATGAAGAGAATGAAGGAGAAAGACGAGAAGCCATTACCAGAAAATAGTTCTCATTATTTTCACATTCACAGATTAAGACAAATAATCAAAAATCAGATTCAGTGATAAATTTATTATTGTTTATTTTGTAAAAAAATTATAGTAGGAAAATCAAGAAATCACCATTATAAACCAACACAAGAATCAAAGATACATTCAGTGATAAATTTATCACTAATTGTTTGCAAAAAAAAAGAAAATGTTGAAGCAAAATTAAATTATCACCATTACAAAATGATAAATTTATGGAGGAAGATGGTGGCAATGATGATGTTAGATTCAATGATAAATTTATCACTAACTGTTTGTAAAAAAAAAAAATTACAAAAGGAAAATTATTATTACAAATAATAAATTTATCACCGTTTAATTTATCAAGTTTTATACAAAAACAAACATATTCAACAAATTTACTAATAAACTTATCACTGGTTTAAGAAGATAGAAGCTCCGATCAGCATTGAAAATACCTAGATGAACCAATCACCGTTCTAATCTAACACTCTGAACGCCTCAATTATGTTTTCTTTTTCGTCTCGCTTGTCCATTATTAACGGGTATAGAGCTGCGAACTCGTCAATGTCAACACACCCATCACCGTTCATGTTGATTTCTTGATCTCTCTTAGATCTAACTCCCATCTCTCTGAAATCCAAGAGCCACAGAGGCAGCTCTCATGTTCACCAACACCAACGAATAACTGTTCGATTGCTGAGTCTTCATCACAAACTTCCTCACCGCCATCGACGCCGTGACCCCTTCATCTCCGTCCAATATTATAATGGCGCAATCAATGGCTCTTGGAACACACCAGTGCATGAAATACCTTCTCATACTGATTACGATTTCTATACGCAAATCTTTCGTTGCCTCCCTTTTCAAAACCTAGATCCTTCAGGTGAGAGAGAGAGAGAAAAAAAAAATTTAAATAGAACCACATAACTCAAACCAAACCCGCGAAGCATAATAACAGAGGTAAAATCGGGATAAAAAAATACAATAAGACTTATTGATGTATGAGATAGACACTTAGGGCATGTTTGATTGACAGGATTAGAGTATGAAATTTAGATTATTAATCCGTAGGCCTAATAATCATGTATTTGTTTTGAAATTTTGTTTCAGGATTATTAATTCAATAAATAATTAATCTAACAAATTTGTAAGATTGTTAGTAATGGGATACGGGTGAAATTATATATCCTGAGTTGGGAAATAAAATAAAAAAACTCTTTTATCTTCATATGTTTTCTTATCCAATACAAATCAAACTATGGATAGGGGGATAATTTATCCTACTAATCTAATTGAATAGTTAATATCACACTAATTTGATAATATTATTAATACCTTAATTGTTAATCTTGTAAATCAAATATAGGCTTAAGACCTAATAAATAATAGATTATTGGACCGGCTAGTAAAAAAATCTTCAAAAAAGACTGTATCGTGTCTTAAAAAAAAAAAGTCTGCATCGTTCTGGGTTTTGTAAGATTTGGCCCATTAGTCCGGACCCAAACACAGGCCCAATTACTCTGTTCTCTCTGAAGATTGAGAGGGGTCAGAGAGGCGGAGAGGAGAGGAGAGGAGAGTGGGGGGAGAGAGAGAGAGAGCGAGAGATGTACCTGAAGAAGGCGTTTTGGAGCGACGCTCTGAACTCGGAATCGCAGACTCAGTCACCGTCGGCAGTCGGAGATCTGGTGAAGTCGCTTGATAAGCAGAGGGTGTACAGAGAAGTCACGCTTGCACTCCGGACCGGACTCAGGGACGCCCGTGCCGAGTTCTCCTTCCTCCGGGTCCGCGGGCTTCGCAGCATCCTCAAGTTCCTCCGATCCGTCGCCCACTCTGACTCCACCATCAATCTCTTCTGCCACAGTCAATCCATTCCCGATCTCCAAGGTCTCTTCTCTTTCATTCATTCATTCCTATATATATATGTATCTATAAGATCACGATTTTCACATGTATACCTGTGTGTGTTTTTCAAATTCAATGCATTCGATTTATCTGTTTAATTCCTTTTTTTGTATTAAGGATTTGTTACGGCTGGATCGCTGTCGTGTTCTTGTTTGGTTGCCGAGAAAAGACGAACTTGAAATAATTGAAAACACAAATTAGAGAGCCCTAGAAAAAAGTAAGGGAGTTGAATATATCCTATCTTGTGGCTTATTTGGTTTAATTTCTGAAAATAAATAATAAAGAAAAGCGAAAATTTTGACAATTGCTAAGTTAGATAAATTGAATTAGGCTCAGTCTTTAAGGCTCGGTTGAGTTGAAAAGTTTGAAATATTGGATTTATATGCTTTCCTTATTTTCTCCGCAACTAAACTTAGCATTGTTTTAATTTGATATTATATATATTAGATTTGGAAAAGATTTTAGACTCTATTATCATGACCATTCATTTGTCAAAGGTTCAAAATTGGTAATTTCATGGTTTCTGTTGTGATTTGAAATTGAAATGTGGTTGATGTTAAAGTTTTTATTTTTTTGTTATGATTTACCAGTTGTTCCAGTTCTGTTTCAACATTCATTAAAAGAGCTAGAGGAGCAGAAGGTAGCAAATTTGGATCATATATTTGGCACTGAACCTATAAAAATAGTTACTCCTTCAACAGATTCTGAAGTGGCACTTGCACTTCGAGTTTTGGAAGGATGTTGAAGCTCCGATCAGCATTGAAAATACCTAGATGAACCAATCACCGTTCTAATCTAACACTCTGAACGCCTCAATTATGTTTTCTTTTTCGTCTCGCTTGTCCATTATTAACGGGTATAGAGCTGCGAACTCGTCAATGTCAACACACCCATCACCGTTCATGTTGATTTCTTGATCTCTCTTAGATCTAACTCCCATCTCTCTGAAATCCAAGAGCCACAGAGGCAGCTCTCATGTTCACCAACACCAACGAATAACTGTTCGATTGCTGAGTCTTCATCACAAACTTCCTCACCGCCATCGACGCCGTGACCCCTTCATCTCCGTCCAATATTATAATGGCGCAATCAATGGCTCTTGGAACACACCAGTGCATGAAATACCTTCTCATACTGATTACGATTTCTATACGCAAATCTTTCGTTGCCTCCCTTTTCAAAACCTAGATCCTTCAGGGGAGAGAGAGAGAAAAAAAAAAAATTTAAATAGAACCACATAACTCAAACCAAACCCGCGAAGCATAATAACAGAGGTAAAATCGGGATAAAAAAATACAATAAGACTTATTGATGTATGAGATAGACACTTAGGGCATGTTTGATTGACAGGATTAGAGTATGAAATTTAGATTATTAATCCGTAGGCCTAATAATCATGTATTTGTTTTGAAATTTTGTTTCAGGATTATTAATCCAATAAATAATTAATCCAACAAATTTGTAAGATTGTTAGTAATGGGATACGGGTGAAATTATATATCCTGAGTTGGGAAATAAAATAAAAAAACTCTTTTATCTTCATATGTTTTCTTATCCAATACAAATCAAACTATGGATAGGGGGATAATTTATCCTACTAATCTAATTGAATAGTTAATATCACACTAATTTGATAATATTATTAATACCTTAATTGTTAATCTTGTAAATCAAATATAGGCTTAAGACCTAATAAATAATAGATTCAAGGACCGGCTAGTAAAAAAATCTTCAAAAAAGACTGTATCGTGTCTTAAAAAAAAAAAGTCTGCATCGTTCTGGGTTTTGTAAGATTTGGCCCATTAGTCCGGACCCAAACACAGGCCCAATTACTCTGTTCTCTCTGAAGATTGAGAGGGGTCAGAGAGGCGGAGAGGAGAGGAGAGGAGAGTGGGGGGAGAGAGAGAGAGAGCGAGAGATGTACCTGAAGAAGGCGTTTTGGAGCGACGCTCTGAACTCGGAATCGCAGACTCAGTCACCGTCGGCAGTCGGAGATCTGGTGAAGTCGCTTGATAAGCAGAGGGTGTACAGAGAAGTCACGCTTGCACTCCGGACCGGACTCAGGGACGCCCGTACCGAGTTCTCCTTCCTCCGGGTCCGCGGGCTTCGCAGCATCCTCAAGTTCCTCCGATCCGTCGCCCACTCTGACTCCACCATCAATCTCTTCTGCCACAGTCAATCCATTCCCGATCTCCAAGGTCTCTTCTCTTTCATTCATTCATTCCTATATATATATGTATCTATAAGATCACGATTTTCACATGTATACCTGTGTGTGTTTTTCAAATTCAATGCATTCGATTTATCTGTTTAATTCCTTTTTTTGTATTAAGGATTTGTTACGGCTGGATCGCTGTCGTGTTCTTGTTTGGTTGCCGAGAAAAGACGAACTTGAAATAATTGAAAACACAAATTAGAGAGCCCTAGAAAAAAGTAAGGGAGTTGAATATATCCTATCTTGTGGCTTATTTGGTTTAATTTCTGAAAATAAATAATAAAGAAAAGCGAAAATTTTGACAATTGCTAAGTTAGATAAATTGAATTAGGCTCAGTCTTTAAGGCTCGGTTGAGTTGAAAAGTTTGAAATATTGGATTTATATGCTTTCCTTATTTTCTCCGCAACTAAACTTAGCATTGTTTTAATTTGATATTATATATATTAGATTTGGAAAAGATTTTAGACTCTATTATCATGACCATTCATTTGTCAAAGGTTCAAAATTGGTAATTTCATGGTTTCTGTTGTGATTTGAAATTGAAATGTGGTTGATGTTAAAGTTTTTATTTTTTTGTTATGATTTACCAGTTGTTCCAGTTCTGTTTCAACATTCATTAAAAGAGCTAGAGGAGCAGAAGGTAGCAAATTTGGATCATATATTTGGCACTGAACCTATAAAAATAGTTACTCCTTCAACAGATTCTGAAGTGGCACTTGCACTTCGAGTTTTGGAAGGATGTTGTTTGCTCCACAGAGAGAGCACGGTGCTGGCTCATCAACACAAGGCAATCCCGGTATGCATATTCCTTGTTTAATCTATTTCTCTGGTCTACGTGGTTTGATCATCAGCTCATTTGTTTTTCTGAAAACATTGTTGATTTAGGACCTATAACAATGCCTAACCCCAATTTAGCTACGTGAAAATGCTTTGGTTCGTGGATAGAAATCACATTGTAGTAAGAGTAATCACTTACATATCATACACCTGTTGAATGTTCATCCCCCAACCCTTCATCATCCCCTTGTATATAAATTTGGAGCAGACCTAACCCAATACACACCGGGAAGCCGAGTGTTTCTGGGTTCAAAAATGCCGAATCTTGTCTCAATCATAATTTGTAGGACTCTTTAAGTAAGTTCCTTTGCTTGGATGGCCCATTTAGTGCATGCCGCTATTCCTAGATCTAGAGGAGAGTACGTCCGTTGGAATAATTTCTTAGATGTATTACCATATCCCCAAATGTTAGGCGCTCTTTTTACAGGTCAGTGGAATCTTTATGCTTAGCACCTCTACTCAAGTAGTCATTTATCTGGTACCTCCCAAGGAGCAGGAATTGCCATTCTAAACCTTCTTGGGGGATTCCATCCATGAATTATGGGTGACTGATATTGCTCGTCATCATTTAGCTATTGCATTTACTTTTTTTTATTTTTTATTTTATTGGTTGTTGTTCATATGTATAGACTAAACCTTATTGGGGGATTGGGTGTAGTGTGAAAGATATTTTAGATGTCCACATTTCTCTGGTTGGAGGATTGGAACGTGGCCGATAGGGTCTTTTATGACACAATCAATAAATTAATTTATTTTTTTTTTTATTTTTATTTTTATTTTTTTTTATTTTTTTTTTCAGTTAGGTCTTGGTCTGGCTTCTTTAGGGGTTTGGCAATTAGTCTTTAACTTTTAAGTTCTTTCCTTTTCTTTTGAAGCTTTGCCCTAAATTTACTATGTTATGCGCACAGCAAACAAGTATAGACCAAATCGCCTAAATTGGAACGAAACATTTCATATTTGTTTTGAAAATGGTTTGCTACTCGCAAGTAGGTTAAAATGCAGGTTTTGCCACCCTCAAGTGGACTTTTAGAAAAAAAGATGGTTTTGCCACTATCTAGTGGGCTTAAAACTCACAGTTTTAATGCATTATTCCAATTAAGGTGATTCCACCTCCATCCACAGGCATTCAAGCAGTTATATCACATAAGCAGCTAGCCTCATGGTAATCATGCTATCATGGCAACACTCACACGCATGTAAGGATGCTAAAGCAAAAGAACTTGCAGAGTACTCCAAGCCAAAACATAAACTAGTTAGTAATCATATGCATGATCCTAGTTCATGTTAAGATGGCTAATGCAATACATGCAAAATGCAACTAAGATAGGCTCGGCTAATCTACAATGACATGTGAAATGCTACAACTAACACGTATTCAATTTGAAATTAAAATACAAATGCAGTTAGAGTGATGCGCCGAGCCCGATGCATGTAAGACAAATGTGTGGATGCACGCATGCATAGCATAAGGTATGCTAATTTAAATATGTCCTAGTCTACCATCATAAGCAGGTAAATAAAAGGGAAGAAAGACATGGGGTTGGAAGACATACACACACTCACGCACACTTATTACACAATTGCCCTCGCTCGGAGGGTCCGAATAAATATTACAGTCCGAATAAATAATACTAAATTAATTATTACAAAATTTCTACTCTAATTAACAAATTAAATGCAAAGAGAAGATGGCCGCAGCCCCCGCCTCGGGATGTGTGAATGATGCATGTTCGGATTTATCTTGCCCCGAAAGCCCGTACCATACCACTGCTGCCTCTGTTTACACTGCCCTGCTTCTCTGAAAACTGCAAAAATCCTGGGACAGGTACCCTGAACCCTGTAGGACACCATCGGCTGAAGGGAATACCCACCGGCCATGGAACTTATCCATCGGCTGGGGTTTCATATTATCGGCCATCAATCCATGGCCGGTCGGCAATCTACAGTGTCGGTCGGCAAAAACTCCCTGCAGAAACTGGTTTTTCACAGCAACAAGGATAGACAGTGTATGGCATGGAATTTCAAGCAAATGTATGCGTGGGCACACTCCCTATCATGCAAGGGCCTCAATGGAGCATGACCCTCGACCCTCGGGCCATCAATCATGCATTTTGATGCGTGATGGCCTAAGGAGCCAAGGTTGCAATTCAATGAAAATGCATGCAACATATAAATGAATACCAAAACCCTATCATGCCAAAGTCAAGGGCCTCGGTGACCGAGAGTTGAGACGCGTTACATCACTTGTAGTATGAACACTTCTCCCCCCTCACACTTGGTTTGACACCCCAAACCAAGCAATGCAATGCATGTTATGCAAACATGGCTCAAAAATGCAACATATCACTAAAATGCAAAGCATGCCAAATGTAATGCAACATATCATGGCAAGCATGCAATGTTCCTAACATGCAATGCTACAATGCAACTCATCATGTAATGCTAATATGGTACAATGCAAGCATGCGATTAGAGGCAACAGGTCACGCATACAACCATGTCCGAGAAGGGACTTAGACTGAAATGGGAGGCCTCAAACACCCCTCAAAATAGAGGCCAAAAGTGTCTCAAGTGATGGACAAAATGCACTACAAGCATGTAAGTCAAAAGGGGCCCAAGGCTAAGGCATAACAACAGGGCACTCCACGACCACTAACCCAAACAAGCATGGCATGAACTATACAACCCAAAAACAGAATTTTAGCATGCAAAATAGCTCCAAAACCCGCTGGTATGGTAGCCCTAAAAATGACCCAAACACATAGGCATACACAATGCACATGTCAAGGCATGAAAACACAATACTTCAAGGCATTGAAAGAGACACAAAGGACAATGTAAGACCACATTATATAGACTGGAATATGATCTCAACTAATGCCAAATGATGACAATAGGCCAAGCTAGGCATGTTAATGATCCATACACTCAAGGCTCATGATCCAAAATGCAAAGCAACTATATCAAGCATGCTAAACAAGACCAAATCAGTGGCCGACAGACCTCATGCATGACAAAATATGGTCAAGAACTTCACAAAGTGAAGCCAAAATATGAGAGCATGGTAGTCAAAAGTCATGATGCATTTCTAGGCACAAACAAGGGAATACAAAGCAAGTATCTTAAGCATGCAAAGGGCCACCAATCCGACCAAAAATAGAGATAACATGTGACCTAAATAGCACCAAAAACATCTAATATGGAGCCAAAAACAACCAAGCATATATGCTACCCTTATGAGCCCAAAACATGCACAAATGAGACACAAATGGAGAGGGGTGTCCCTCTCCTATACAAGACTTCAAACCATCTTCTTCACCACTGAAAATCCATTGGATTTCAGTGGTGAGAAGGCTAATACAACAAAGCAAATAAGGCTTAAAGGAAAAGACACCAAAAGGGGCCAAAAGAGACCTAAGAGGGGGATTTCGACCCCCAATGCCAAAACACCCTTAATGAAAGTTCTTAAGCAAAAAAATATAAGACTTTTTTTAGTTATACACAAAGCTCAAATCAATATGCAATATAGGTCAAAAGTCAATGCAAGATTGGGGAAAATAAAGCAAGAAACTCACCCTTGAAGAACACTTCAAGAACAGTTGGTCCAGCCACTCTTTTCTGACCAAAATCAGTCCAAAACCTCAAAAAACAACCCTCAAAACCTCTCAATCTCGGAGCAAGGTATAATGGTGTGTGTATTAGTGCAAAAGTAAGGTCAAAATGCACTTTTAGGCCAAGAAAACACACACAAGGGAGGAGAGAGAGGGAAATATAGAGAGAGAG